CGTAAGAAATAAAATCGTAATATTGTCGATCAGTCACATTCATTGGCACACATGACTTTTACTGACAGTAAAACTTGCTCTTTCGAATCAGATGATGCGTTGAAAGAAGAACAACTGTTCAATGCTATTGAATCAAATAATGTCACTGTCGTGCAGAATTTTACGAAAAATGAACTACAACGTTTATGTAACGTACGTCGCCTCTTTCCGTCTGAATGGTCCTCACCGGACCACGAAAAACAAACAGCTTATCAACGTGCATGTCTTCTTGGTCATACAGACATTGTGCAGTGTATTCTCAATGCTGGTATTCCACCTGATCAAAAATTCTCCGGTGGTGATTCACGTAATACTATGCGAGGAGCATTTCTATTTGCTTGTCAAGCACGTTCGATGTCAACAATTACAGTTTTACTTAATGCTGGTGCACCAGTTGATGAACTAGGTTCATGTTCTCTTAATTATGCTGATTCTTTTGTTCCTGGTATTCGTGTATTTAGTTCATTTGGACGTGACTCAGTCTCTTGGGAGAATCTCTATCCGATTCATTTTGCTATTGTCGATAATAATCTCGAACTGTTACAAAAATTGATTACACCTACAACAAACAAGTTATTAACAATCCATTACTTCACTCCTTTACATATAGCTTGTCTTTTTAATCGATCTATTACAATGATCGATCTATTGCTCTCCTACGAAAATGCTAATCTTGCAACAATAGCTAAAACAAGCAATGGCAAATTTCCTGATGAGCTTGCTACTGATCAAACAATAATCGATTATCTTCGACCTACACGTCTGCGCGTTTATGTGGAAATAGAAGAAAACTGTCAGAAAAGTCAACAACATGACTTAAAGAAACTTGAAGAAGGTACAGCCTTCCAAGTTTTCATCAAAACTCTTACGAGTAAAACGATCATAATTATTGTCACAAGAGAAGATACTGTCGAAAATATCACGGCAAAAATTCATGAAAAGACAGATATTCCACCTAATCAACAACGAATTATCTATGGAGGCAAACAATTACGAGATGGTCTCACACTTGCCGACTATGATATTGGAAAGGACGCTACCCTTCATCTAGTCGTTAATCTGCCTGGTGGATACTATTAGTATGACGGCGTCTTTTGTTTTTACAAACTTATGTAGAATCAATCAAATATTTGATTGCTACAAGAAAAGTAAACAATACCTTTTTTTTCATAATTTATTTTATAATCGAGATGTTTGGTTTATGAAATTTGATGTAAGTGGTTATGAATTCCAAAAAGATTTTTTCTTAGAAAAAGTTTTTTATTCTTGAAATAATAGTTTTCATTCGAGATGTATCTCACCTAGTCTGCTCTATAACATTTATAACGTATAGTCACTCAAAAAATTATACTACAGCTGTATAACATTGATCTTCCTAACAAATAAATTAAGACACTTAAAAGTGATTACAATAATTGTCTTTTCTAGATTAATTGTTGAAAACGACGAATAAGAAAGCAATGCAAATCGAAAATCTACCTGATGAACTATTTGTGTACATTTTCTGGTTTATTCGACCCAAAGATCTTTTTCAAGGATGGTATAACTTGAATTATCATATCAATTCAATTTTACGTTCAATACCTATAAGTATCGAAATCAAGAAAAATGATGATTTCAACGATTGTCTTCCTTCTCTTCAGCATTTTTATTCTCAAATAGCCTATCTCAAAGATGAGCGCTACTTTCCAAAACCTGAAATCGATGTACGTCAACTAACTAATATTCGATCTCTCTATTTGAACCAATGTTCAAATGAACAATACAAACATATTCATCCTAACAATCAACCTCACTTAACTCGTTTTTTCTCTTTGTCAGTGCCTTGGTCATTCTATGAACAGATTCTTTTTGGGCAAACACGTTTTTCTCATCTGACATCTATTGGATTTGTGAGAGGTGCTTCAATTTTATTAATGAAATTACCATATTCTATAAATACAACAATTCGTCATCTTCATTTACATTCAGCAACATATGAAATTATCTCTAAATTTCTTCAATATCTTCCTTATATTATTTCATTAACCATCGATTATTTATATACAAACAGTTCATCGTCTATAATACCGATCACAAATTCTTATATACGCCATCTGACTTTGATACATAGTTTATCATCTCAATCACATTTCGAGGAGCTTCTCGTATTCCTTGGTAATTCCAATTTAACAGAGGTTCGCGTGACATTTGATACTTGTGAATTTGACAAGCTAGCTTGTATTCTTACAAAACTTTCATGCATGGAAAAATTCAATTTGAAAGTGAAGACATATCCATCAGATCTCGATTTGACCATAATTCGTCTGATGAGTCCTTGGTTTCTAACATTAAATTATGCATATGTCATCGAACAATATGAGCTTAAACGGATTCTTCTCATTAAAACCACTAGAAAACAATTAGACTATCAAGCAACACTAATTAAATGATTGAATATGTAGTCAATTACCGGAGAAAAATGAGAAACATTCTTTTTTTCATAATTAATATACATCAAGAAGAGTTTTGATATTGAACTTTTGTCTTCACTATACCTGAATACTCCTGTGTATTCGTGTTGTACAAATGTATTAGTTTTTCTTTGAACAAGGTACATTGTACTGAGATCTGCATACTTCAATTTTATTTTCAAAGAAAGATGTCAAATAATGTGTCCAGATCAAAAAGCGAAGCCGAATTGAATCAAATTTTAGTTTTTCTTATTCGTTTTGGTCTCCGATTTAGAGAATAGCGATTATTATTGGGAATAACCAAAGGGTGTGGGTGTAAATACATACATTGCTAACATCCACAAATCCGCGCCCACACCCGTGCATGGTGTGGTTAATGGTATTTGTAGTTTGGTACGATAAGAAATTATATTTATTAATGGGTTTTGTATGTTTAGGTTAATCATGCCTGCTTATTTGAAAGTAAGATTTTTTTGTTTATTTGAATGTTTTGTTTTTTCGTTATAGATTATTTCCAAGTTCTGATTTAGTTGCAAATTTGTTTGGTTAATGCTTGCTTTTCTGTTTGGAGCGGATTGATTTTCAGTGAATACTTAATTGTAAGTTTACTACTTTAAATATATCGTCTTATTTGTTAGAGATCGATACCATTTTTCCGATTTAGGAGTTAGTTTATTTCATTCTATAAACTATTCTTTTTGTATTTCAGATTTCAATGAGCTCTTGGTTGTGATACTACCTTAATGACCTTAATTACTAATTATTTGTTTGCTGTGGATGGGTTCGCAATAATGATGTGAAAGTAAGTTTATTCATTTTAGTTGTTACTTTTTTTTTTGAGAAGGGCCTATTGAGATATTTCAGGTATATAATAAATGCCATTTCGTATCTAAGGAGGTAGCCCTTGGAATTGATAATTCGCTTTTGAGTTGATCCCCTATTTCTAAGGTCGTTGCCGGTGAGATAAGAAAAATTCCTGAAGGATGCTATATATTAGCTCTTCTCTCGAAGAATATCCTTACGTTACTAGAGTTTTAGTTGAATACTAACGAGGAGCCCTATGTAGATGTGAATTTGATTTTAATTTCAAGCCATCAGTGTCAGATGGATGTGACGGAAGTATGAAAAACTCCGAATGAACGAGGGCTCGAAAGTTTTCTTTCGGAAGTTATAGCCATTTTCTTCGAATTTTAGCCTATAGTGTCGTAGATATCAGCAAGCGGAATGAGACTATTTCCATATAAAAATTTATAGATCGAACAGTCTATGTATAAGGAGAATGTTCCAAAAAAGTTGTCTGAAAGCAATGCGCCTTTTTCAGAAACATTAAAGTTCACAAAAAATAGAACATTTCATCATCTTTCATGAGATACGAGTTGTATTGTTGGACTCGAGCATTTCTAAAAAAGCGCATTGTCTTCATTTAAAATTTTTGATATATTCTGCTCATAAATAGACCGCTCCATCCATAAATTCTTAAATAGAAATAGTCTCATTCCACTTGCTGATATCTACGACACTATAGGCTAAAATTCGAAGGAAATGGCTATAACTTTCGAAAGAAAACTTACGAGCCCTCGTTCATTTGGAGTTTTTCATATTCCCGTCACATCTATCTGACACTGATGGCTCGAAATCAAAATCAAATTCACATCTAAATAGGGTTCCTCGTTAGCACTCAACTAAAATTCTAGTAACGTAAGGATAATCTTCGAGAGAAGAGCTAATGAATAGCATCCTTCAGGAATTTTTCTTATCTCACCGGCAACGACCTAAGGAACAGGGGTTCAACTCAAAAGCGAATTATTATTTCCAGGGGAAACCTCATCAGATGAAGATCCCTTGGAAGGTTTTCTACGAAACCATTTGTGCGAAACCTTTTGGACATCATTTTGGAAAGGTTTCGTACGAAACCGTTTCTACGAAATTTTTTGGCTTTTTCCTATGAAGGTTTCGTACTGAACTCTGAGTACGAAACCATTTTTCCAGTTCAAGAAGCAGCAGTTTCGCACGAAACCTTCTTTTTCCGCAACCAAAAAAGGACCTTCCCCTGGGCACACGGAAAGATCCTTTTTTTGGTTTCGTAAAATACCCCTTTTTTTACAGTGTAGTATATTGCAGTACAATCACTTTTTCCGTTCTCCGCTTGGTCTTGATCATGCATTGTCCTCTCTCGCAAGTTTTTATCATTGTGTCAGGTTCTAATGTGTCATTTTTTTTCCATAAAAATCTAGTGAGTTCTTTTCATTTCCAAACTTTTGTGTATATATACCTATCATCCGATTAATAAAAACTCAATATTATACGTAGTGAAAATATTCTTCTTCGATAACGATTACCTACGTTCAAACGATTAACCTTACAATATTAAATACACGGCAAAAATGACAGATACGAGATTATCGTTGGATCAACGCAAACAGATAATGAAATGATACTGGGAATCAGAGAATGTTGCGGAGGTGCAGCGGGCATGGACACAAGAATATAACTCACTGGTTCCAACTCGCCTCACAATCACACGATTACGGGACAAATTCTAGGCTGAAGGCACCTTGCAAGACATTGATAAAGGACACTCTGGAAGATCACGCTCTGCACGAAGTGAAGAAAATATTGAGGTTGTGTTAGCCGTATTCGAACGCTCACCGCGAACATCTACAAGACAGTGCGCTCGTGAAACTGGAATAAGCAAGTCAAGTATTCATCAAATCTTGAAGGATGAAAATTGGAAGACAAACATCCACATCGGTTGCAGGCGTTAAACAAAGATGATCCTGATCGCAGGCTTGAGTTCTGTGAATGGTTTTTAAACAATGCACGCCGCAGTTGAACTTTCGTCGACAATATTGTATGATCAGACGAAGCGTGCTTTATGTTGAATGGAAGTGTGAACCGACATAACTGTGTCTACTGGCCTAAGGAGAATCCTCATCTCCATACAGATCTAAAAGCAAAACGCTCCACAAATCACGGTGTGGATGGGCGTCTCTTCCCGTGGTGTTATCGGGCCATTCTTCTTCAATGACACAGTAACAGGCAAGCGGTACCTCGACCTTCTGATTGACAACGTTGTTTTCGCTATTGAGAACTTGTACAATGACGAAGAAGTATTTTTTCAGCATGATAGAGCTTCCCCGCATTTTCATCAAGATGTACGAGAATTTTTGGATGAACGTTTTACCGGGCGATGGATGGGACCCCGTGGACCAGTGGAATATCCTCCACGCTCACCGGACCTTACACTTCCGGACTTTTTCTTATGGAATATGCTGAAAAATAATGTTTACGCCTCAAAACCCATAACCATTCAAGAACTCCAACAGAGTATCGTTGATTTCTCCGCCGTCATTCCATCGACAACATGTGCATCTGCGTGTCGCTCTGTTATCAAACGTTGTAAAGCTTGCATGGATGCCGATGGCAAACAATTTGAACATCTATTGTAGAGTATTAAGCTCCATATGTTCAATGAATGAAGAAACAACTATACTAAGAAAAAGTTTTTTGTATGCCAAAGAAAGCGAAAAGTGTATACATTTTTTTGGGACACCCGGTGTATATATATATATGCGATTGAATTGAAGCATCCGCTGTCTCTACATCGATGTAAACGGAGTCAATTTTTAAATTCAGTAATGAATTCGAAAAGAGTCATTTTCTTTTTTGAATAAAGCATGCTTTGTGTTGTTTTAATCAACATATTTATTCTTTCTTTTTTTTTCGACTCCTTTAAAGTATTGTCGTAAACAAACAAAAAGTAAGAACGACTTATTTTTATTTTTCCTTCGTTCGTCCTGTGATGTTCGTTTTTTTTGTATGAAGTGTTTCTCTGTGTAAATTCAAAATTGTAAGAATGCATTTTTGATTATGTTTCATCAAGGATGCATAGTAACTGAGTTTTTTTGTCCAAAGTGCTGCCGTAGACAAACTGAGAGGTGTTTTATGTACTTCAAAAGGTTTCTCATCGAATGAGCCAACTTGCTGTGTGAGTTAGATTGAAAAGGAAAATCTATATTTTTATTAGTTTTGAAATCATATCATGTTCAGCAAAACGTGTTTGTTTTCTTTCGACATTGAAATAACTTTCTATTAAAAGCGATTCATATTTTTTTTTAAATGTTTTTCACTTATCACTAAAATAAAAGTGAGCTATTGGCACATCTTTAAGAGATAAAGTGTCATTGATGCAATTATTACTTTATAAATGGTGTCATAATGAATTTTAACAACTTTTGAGATATCTTCGTGTATATTTGATTTTATAAAACAATACGAAAACAAATTATTATCAAAAACAAAAATTTTAAACGATCATTAATATCTCGAGTTGTTAAATGAGTGGTGTAAAAATCTGTATTAGAAGTCATGCATATGAAACAAAAATTTTTTCGATTTGTAATATATACGATATAGAATAGAGTTTTTTGCCTTTTTGTTCTCAAAGTCTTCGTTGTAACAGAAAACAACAGTTTGCAGTCTTTATCGATGTTATTTGTTTGCTTTTACACTATATATACGTATGCAGCTAGTGAAATTGACAAATTGTGAATAGAAGCACGAAAGAGAGTAAGAGAAATCTTCATTTCGGTAACATTGTTTTGTCGTTTGTTTACCTAAGTCGTTCTTTTTAAAGTATACTTGTTGCATAGCATAACACAGTATTCAAATTTGATCGAATTTCAAGTAAGACACACACATATATGGCCACTTCCATGGAAGTCAATCCTCGTCTGATGGCGAGTGTTCGCGACGAACCAACGCAAATGCTTCAACCAATATCTGGATACGAAGAAGAGCCCATCTTACCCCTTGAAGATGTCTGCAAACCCTTGGAGGATATTCTCGACAAAGAACTCAAACAAAATATAATTGTTGCAAAAGCGAATTCGACAGAACCTGAAGACGGACTGACTCAGGATGAGTCAGCTTCCATTCATTTATACACCATGCAATGGAAGAAAAGTGAAAATAGTCTTTATGCAGTATTGAATCGCACGTTGCGTATGGCTAATCGAAGAAAATTGCAACCGTGGTTCAAATATTTAAAATTGTTCCTGACAGCATTTTTTAAACTACGGTACGTAACATATAAATGACTATGTAATATGATATGATTTTATTTCAGGCCAACTGAATATCAAACGGTGTGGCGTGGTGTTTCCGAAGATTTAAGCACCCTTTATCCGACGGGTAAAGAATTTACTTGGTGGGGAATAAGTTCGTGTACTTCTTCAATCAGTGTACTCGAATCCCTACACCATGCGGGAACTTCTGGCGCCAGAACAATGTTCTCCATTGAGACCAATAATGGGAAACTTATTCGATCACATTCCAATTTCCCAGAAGAGGAAGAAATTCTTCTTCCTCCAGGCATACATCTCAAAGTGATCGATACGTTTGGCTCGGTTAATGGTTTACATGTAATTCATCTTCGTGAAATTCCACCATTGTATAAAATGCTTGCAGATCCTTTTGATTTGAGCCAATGGCAACAGGCTTTACCTCAGTCGAAACTATTATCACATACATCAAGTTCAGAAAAAAAGGAAAAAAAATATTCAACAGCAAGTATTACACCCAAACCAGCTGGACAAATATCGTCAACAAAAGGCAAGTTAATTTGTATTGTTAAAGATGAAAAAGTTTCTACAAAAAAAAATATTTGCTTATGAAATCTTAATTTTTGCTACACTCTTAGTTTCAGAAATTTGAGCTTAAATGAGTTCTATGAAGACTTTTCAAAGGATAGTTCATACCACAACATGTATGCTGCGATTGTTATAGTAATTAAACTAATAAAATTTCGTCAATCTTCACTATATCCTGCTTCGTCTTCATAGAGGAAACTTGAAACTCACATCACATATAGATAGAGCTTAAAAGATTTTGACTGCATTTTCTTTTCAATGGTAGAAGAGAAAAGGAGAATTTGGGTCGTTCTTTTTTTCTAAATTTTTTTGCTGATAAGATCTTATACCCACTTATTAAGTGTTTAGTGTTTTGACAATAATACGGCCACCTCCAAACGAAATTCGGAACCTTTTTTTTAACAAAATGATCAACGGAAAAAGTATTATAAAGTTTAATAGAAAGAAAAATTTTCTGAATATTCTGTGTCTTTTGTGGTTGACTACTCACGAGAGTCTTCAACTGTAAAATTGACAACGTTCGATCTTCTCAAAAAAAGTCCATAAGCACGAACTCTTTTTTTGGGGTAGACATAGTTCATCAAGGTCTACAAGATGCACTAAGTTCCTGCCGAAAAGCGTTTGAACACTTGGGAATGTTTTCTTGTTAGTCTTCTTTGTATAGAAGTCCCTTTTGAGTCCATCCAAGTGTTTGTTCCTAGTTAATCAGCTTTAAATCAGAAACCAATTCTGAGCATACATTTTGAAAGAGCATCAATTTCGGATCCTGACTGACTACTTTGCATTCTCTATAATACCTTTTAAGTGGTAGAAAATTGAACAAAAATTTTGTGCAAAGACTTTCACACACTAGGTTAAATTATTATATTTTTTTTTCTTCTATAAAATAATAAATCGAAGTTTTGGATATTTTCCTTTTCTTTCTTTTTGCTACTGATATTTTTTGTACTTGTCATTTGTACGGTATATTTATTTATTCAATATACAAATGTCTTGATATCAGTAGCTTAATATTCATCTGCGAACACTAACGGTTTACAAGAGAAAACTAAAATCATTCGTTTTCGTCATTGTTTTACTTAAATAAAATACTTTTGAATGCACCGAACGATATTTTTTCACTATAAGAAAAGTGCCAAACGAATTTCTTTTATTTGTAAGTATGAAGACAGACAGACTGATGTAGAACACGTTCCGTATAAACAAAAAAATATTTTGAATCGAAAATAAATCATTGAACAATGTAATGGAACACGAAATAAAGCGTTCCATTTTTTTGATGATCGTGTTCTTTGCCGTTTTATTTGATAAAAATTTTTCACTGGATAGTTAACAAACAAAATACTTGAATTTTCGAACTGCACATTCGAACATCTAGTGAATAAGATGATTGGTCACGCAATAGAAGGCAGTCGTCATCACTCATGCCACTCAACAATGAAGAGGTAAAGCATTGTACGAATACCGCACTTGTATGTATCTTATTTTACATACATTGGTCTCACTATGTTCACTTCCATTATTTCAATTCAAAATTAAACAAATGACAGCTAATGAGTAGATAGAGATGTAAAGAATCTATTCATTAGTTAGTTAGAGTTGCCAAACATAAGCTTAAATATGCCGTCCTGAGAAAGATACATTTGCATGTCGTCGTGAAAAAAAAGATCATAATTTCGGCTACACTTTCAAAAATCATGTTCATCGATCATATTTGACACATTTTTTGACAGCTACGAATCCTGAACTTTCTCTCATGTTCAAGTCTTTTCGATTCACTCAAACCCTTTTTATTCAGAACTTCATCATTTTTGTGCCTTCCATTGCAGAATGGCCACAGATCTCTCTAAATTCCAAATGGTCTCAGAATGGCATCACTGTGGCTGGGGGAAATGGATGGGGCAGTAAGCTCAATCAGCTGTCTGGCCCGCTTGGTTTATATGTTGATGATGATCAAACTCTCTACATTGCTGATTTCCACAATCACCGTATTGTGGAATGGAAGTATGGTGCAAAGAGTGGGAAAGTGGTTGCAGGTGGAAATGGAGAAGGAAACAGGAATGATCAGTTGAATTGCCCATCAGATTTGATTATCGACAAGCAAACAGATAGTCTCATCATCTGCGACAGATGGAACCGTCGAGTGGTGAGATGGCCTCGTCGAGGTGGCACAAGTGGACAAACGATAATCGCGGATGTCAAATGTAGAGGTTTGACGATGGACGACGAGGGATTTCTCTACGTATCTGATACAGAAAAGCATGAAGTGAAACGATGGCGAATAGGTGAAACGAATGGAACAGTGGTGGCAGGTGGTAATGGAAAAGGTAATCGTCTCGATCAATTCAATACTCCTGTGTTCGTCTGCGTTGATCGATATCATTCAGTGTACGTGTCGGACGAGAACAACCATCGCGTAATGAAGTGGGTGAAAGGAACGAAAGAAGGCATTGTTGTGGCTGGTGGTCAAGGTGAAGGAAATGCTCTGACCCAATTATATGATCTCCATGGAGTAGTTGTCGATCAATTTGGCACTATTTATGTGGCTGACTCTAGAAATCATCGAATAATGTGTTGGCCACAAGGAGCCAAAAATGGAAGTATTGTTGTTAGTGGAAATGGCGAAAGAAATCAAATGAATCGGCTCACTGGTGGCATAGGTTTGTCATTTGATCGTCAGAACAATCTCTATGTCGTCGATTGTTGGAATCATCGAGTACAACGATTTTCCATAAAATAGTCGCTTACACAATTAATGAACCAAATTGTTTTTCTGTTCTTTTTTTTTATTGTCGAAAAGACGCTTCGAAATGAAACAAGAAATAAGTAAATTGATTTCGTAAATAAATGTCTATCTATGTATTTCGCGTGTGCGTACAGAGAGACTGTATGTTAGACGTACAAAGGTCAACATTGGAAAGATTAATTCACGTACGCACATACATTAGTGCGCGTATCGCAGACCTTCCCTATGTTTTCCAACATTTGAGAGTTTCTCTGTGCCAAATGAGCGATACCCTTGTACACTCTCACCCGCCCAGCGCTAAAAAAGAAAACACAATTCAACCTCAACTCTATAAAAATGTTTCCTTCTTTTGATTAATAAATAAGTGAATTAAATATTGTGCCTGTTCCAATATCACAATAGTTCACTTATTTTTTAAAATCATATCCAACTATTTTAATTTATTGAATATTGAATTGCTCTGGGTGTGGAAGAAAAGAGGATGAACACCAAGACGCGCATATGCATGTCCACGCTCTACCACTCCTCCTCTCCACCACAATCATCGGAAGCAATATTTCCCATGGAAATTTAAAGCAAAATGTACTGTATACTCTGTATTTTATTAGCAAAGTGTATTTTATAGTTTTTTTTCAGCAAAATGTATCAAAGTGTACGAAAGCCAAATTTTCACAATCTGAAAAACAAAATATAATGTTCGTCATTTTTTTCTTTCATGAGATAAACATTTTGATCTCTAGC